TTTTTTTTGCGTCTGATTTCCCGATGCTGACGGGTCAGAAGGTGTCAGTTTGGGGTCAAAGGCAGAGCCGATTCTGCAGCTTCTCGAGGTGCCCTTGCACACTGCAGATGCAACCTGCTCGCGGCCTAGGGCGGCGCCGGGATGGAACGACAGCCGGCTCCGTCACAGCCCCCGCCTTTTTTCTGGGAGCCGGCTGCCAAGCCCCGCCCATTGGCTTGAACCTCCTCTCGGACAAAGGCCGCGCTGGCACGGCCTGGTAGCAGAGATCCCGGGCTAGGTGCCAGGGGCCCTGGATTCTTGTCCAGCTGGGCCTCAGTTTCCCATTGTGTCCAGTAAGGAAGCTGAGGCCCCTGCCCCTAGCAATTCCACCCAGCTTCCCTTCACCTTGACAGAGGCCATGGACACTCCCCTCGCAATGAGCGCCCCCCACCCCCCAACAACAACAACAAAGAGGCAGAACCCAAAACCAAGCTGATTCCAAGTCATCGCAACCGTTTAGGGTTTAGGGCAGGGTAGAACTGCCCCGTGAGAGTAGAAAGGCTTCTTTCTCCTGTGTAGCCTGGTGGTTTCGATCTGCTGACTTTACGTTAGTTTGCAACGCATAACCACTAAGCCACCAGGGCTCCCAGCGAAGGCAAAGCTCCTAAGGTACCCAAAGCTCCCCCTGACTTTAGGCCCCTAAAAATGACCACCCATCTTATGCCCCCTGGGGTCCCCTCAATTCCAGCTGTAAGAAGAGGTTCTCTAGTTTGGACCCTGGGCTTTGAGGGGGGCTGATTTGCAGCCCCCCTCTCCCAGAGGCAGCCCCATGTGGCACGGGTGGTTTTAAAGCCAGGGAGAGGGTGAGGCGGCAGGTGCGAGATGGATGAGGCCCCACATCTGTACCACGCACCAGAGCAGGGTGCCTTCCCCTGAGATATCTCTGCTGAGCACCCCCCATGTGCCAGGAGGGACCCCTCAGGTCATCAGAGGATGTAGCAGTCAGAGGACCTGGGTCTGAGTCCTGGTTCACCCCTTCCCAGCTGTGTGACTCTGGCAATTGACTCTGAGCCTCAGTTTCCTCACCTGTACGATGGGATGGCAACCAAGCCCACCTGATAACATGATGCTTCTTTAAGACAATGTATGTAGAAACCCTTAACAAACCTTCTTGAAGCTGGGGAAACTGAGGCTTCACGAGGGACAGGTTGCCAGGTATGTTGGGATAGGGCTGATGGGCACTTGGTGGGATTC